CCCCCCCCCCGCGAACCGAGGGGGTCCCTGCAATGGGGGGTTCACCCCTGCCAAGGGGGGGTTCACCCCCGCCCGGGGGTCCAGCCCCCCGAAAGGGGAGGGTGCTGTAACTGCTTTGCAATGTATTTATTGGGGGGGGTATTTATGGGGGTGCATCAAGCAGGGGCTGGGGAGGGGGTTCCGCTCCGGGGGTCCGCAGTGCGGCCTGTGGGGGTGGGGGGGTGTGAGAGGGGAGGGGGGGTCTCCTCTGGGATTTTTGGGTGGGGGACCATGGTGGGGAGGGGGGCAAAGGGCCCCCCCAACCCTTTCCTGGGACCCCCCCCCAGGCCCTCTGTGCCTCAACTTCCCCCCCTGCCCCCCCCAACCCGTTACCAGAATTGCCTTCGTCCCCGCGGGGTCCGGGGGGGCCCCAGTTTGGGGAGGGGGTGGTGGGGACGGGGGGGTTTTGTAACGTGGTTCTGTGCACTATTAAAGAGAGATGCAGCTGGAAACGCTTGTCTGGGGGGGCAGCGCCCCAAAAACGGGACTGGGATCCCCCCAAAAATGGTCTGGGACTCCCCCAGAAATGGGGTTGGGACTACCCCAAAAATGGGGGTGAGACTCCCCCAAAAATGGGGCTGGGATCCCCCCAAAAATGGGGCTGGGACCCTCCCAGAAACGGGTCTGGGACCCTCCCAAAACTGGGGCTGGGATCCCCCCAAAAATGGGTCTGGGACCCTCCCAAAAACGGGGCTGGGACCCTCCCAAAAATGGGGCTGGGATCCCCCAAAAATGGGGCTGGGACCCTCCCAGAAACGGGACCGGGATCCCCCCAAAAATGGTCTGGGACCCCCTCAGAAATGGGGTTGGGACTACCCCAAAAACGGGGCTGGGACCCCCCCAAAAATGGGTCTGGGACCCTCCCAGAAACGGGGCTGGGACCCTCCCAGAAATGGGTCTGGGACCCTCCCAGAAGTGGGGCTGGGACCCCCCCCAAAAATGGGGAAATGGGGCTGGGATCCCCCCCCAGCCCCTCAGAACGCACTAATTGGGGATTTGAGAGGAAATTACCCCAAATGGAGTGTGGGAAGAGGTAATAGTGGTGAATTTATGGGGAAATGACCCAAAAAGAAGAGGGATAATAGCGAGTTTGTAGGGAATCAGCTCAAAGGAGGGAGGGAGGGCGTGGGTAATAGTGATTTTGTGAGAAAATGACCCAAAAGGGGATGGAGGTGTGGAAATAATCGTGAGCTTTTGGGGGAAAGGGCTCGAAATGGAGGGGAGTAATAGGGATTATTGGGTGAAAACCATCCGAATTGAAGGGAATAATAGGGAATTTATAGGAAAATGACCCAAATGAGGGAAGCCTTCGCCTCGGCTTTGGGTATCAACCCTCACCAAAGGCATCACCAATGGGGGCATTGGGATTCCTCAGAGCGTGTCGTGCTGTGCTGGAGAGGATCAGTGACGGAGACTCCGGGGGAAATGACTCAAAAGAGGAATTTTTACCTATTTTCGTGACGGGGACGGCGCTGAGGGGACGAAAAGGGCGGGAAGTTGCGGGAGGGAACGGCCGGAGCCGCGCCCTCACAGCGGGAGCAGGCGGGGCCCGCCGGTGGCAGGAAATGCTGGTTTTAGTGGTGGAAAAGGCCGGTTTTGGTGGTGGAAAACGCCG